AGCAAGAAGAAGGGTCGAGTTGGCCGAAAGAAGGCCTTCACTCCAGCCCAAATAAAGGCCAAACTCCGTGCAATTCCACAAGCCAATCGTACAACACTTCGCGCAATCTCCGAGCAATTAGGTGCGATGCAACATCTAATCTAAGCTGAACGATGCGTCGCAGGAGTAAGCCTATGTACTTTGCATCGTTGCTTAAAAGCCGCGATGTTCCGCGCTCATTCGAACACTATAAAACCGGTGCTTACGAAGGCCAACAAGTACAGTCGCCTGAAATACGCCATGAGTTACCACTTGGGATGATGCTGAGAAAATGCACGTTCGTGAGAATTTTTACAAGTTGTGACCGAATGTTATTTGTCCAAACATTGCCTTATATAGTACTTTTTCAGTTCGTTTTATTCCTGGGTGGACAAATCTGTAGCTATTGACTTCTGTGGCTTGGTACTTAGTAAGCTCACCCAAATGAGGTTGCAGATTATAATTGAGAAAAGTCGAATTTCTTGATTTTTTTGACGGAGTAAGGGCCACAGTGCACATTCTTCTCCATGTATGAGGGTTTGTGATATTTGGTCGATCGCTAGTATAACTGATGACGTCGAGTACATAGCATTGTGATGCACGGGGCCCCAGGCTTCTATTGTATTGCAGCTTTTGCCGATTATGGTCATGCGGGGATTTACCACTCATACACCCATCGTACATTCAGTGGCATAGCCAGAGCCACCCTTTTAACATTATACATTAACAAAAGCACACAATATAGATATTTGCAGGATTCCAAATTTAAATGATGGGAGGAGTACGCCAACTTTCTGAGTCGGACAACAATTTTGGAACAGAGGAAGTAATTTTCTTGTAATAACTGATATTTACTTGCATGTTGAATATACTTCAAATTTGTATTGCGCAATGGATTAACAAACTTTTGAGAACGAGTGTCGGCTGGTTGTGAAATATCACCTGTCGCAATACATATACACTATACGGTATATGAAGAACTGTATACAGCTCTATACGGTATATGAAGAGTTGTATTCAGCTCAATTGTGCCACAGTAAGTACTATTAATACTACGTAGTACGTAGTAATAACTTACTGTCGCACACAGTATACTGTACAGCTCTTCATATACCGTATAGTGTATAAGTACATATTAATACTTTCCATCACAAACAGTACTAGCTGGTACAGTACATGTAGTATGTCCAATTCACTGGATGCCATACATAAATTTGGCTTAGTCTACCGAATGGTGGTTTGAGTTGGCAAACAGCGGGCATCTCGAGTGGTCTACTGGTCGAATCTCATGCTCCAACTCTAGCAGCACCGTACCGGACTCGGGGTCGACAATGCTCCGAATGCGAAACTGCTGGTGTGTTTGCGTATTTTGCCACGTATCGCAGCGATCTTCGAAGAGTGGATTGTTCCATGTCAAGTGTCGCCCATGCAGGCGACTGTACGCGGCCTCGAACTCGGCAATGTAAATGCAAATGTGGTGTCCATCGTACGGTCGCAGCTGAGCCTCATCTTGGACTTGTTCAAAAATCAAACGTTGAGTGGCCCCGCAGTCCACAATACACACGACCGCTTGTGCATCGGTGGACGTCACGACACAGGCGGCCCCGAGAAATGCCTCGTAAAAGCGAGCAATGCCTGCAGCAACGCCTGGTCGAACAAGAATCTTGATGTACGGCATTCCGACGCCCAAGGCGCGCTCGCCAGGTTGCGCGCCGATCGCTCCGACTACGTCGAAATAGTCCAAAGGGGACTGGAAGCACTGGAACGTGTTTCCATTCGGGCACGTGACCTGCAGATGATCATATTTGGACGTGGCATTTGCAAAGTCCCAGGCACGAATGGTGGAGGGAACAGTGCGATGCCGTGAGCTGCACAGAGTGGACACGTACGGGTACGCACGGCTAACCAAATGCGCTTCAAACTCGTCGAGGCTGGGGTAGAAGAGGCCTATTTCGCCGTCGAGTCTCTGACTCACGGGCTGATTGGGCAAGATGTGAAATTGGCTCAACCCAATGTTGGCATGGACCATCCACTTCACGCGTGGATCTCGCGCGCATCCAAGCACATCGAGGTAGAAGAGGTTCGTCGAGTTTGCGGCATCTCCGTCCTCTTGAGTACTCAAGTTGATATGCTCCAGGAGAATCACGCGGCTGTCCATCGGTAATGTCGACACGTTTGGCAGCGGCATGGTCGTTGGGTCTTTTTTCCAATCGCAAGGTCGGATACATTATCCGTATGTTGCACCAGCTTGATCTTGATGCCATATTTCGTACAACTGTTGTCGTACAATCAAAGTATACTTACATTATGTTGTTTTGTACATACATATTGTACGCTTTACAGTACATCGGCTAGGTTGAAGATGCCAAGATTCGCCACAGAGACGGTTGAGAGTGAATCTCGTCCATCACCATGGCATGCATAACAACCGAAGACTACGAGTCGCCGGCTATCCAGGACTGTATTGACAGTTCGACTGGTCGTGACTAGCGCGGGCCATTCAGAGTCAAAACACGCAGGGCCAAGCATGCAGCAATCGCCACAACGAGATGATTTCATGGCGGAAGTTATGAACCTCCTCGACAAGTTCATGACGCTGCTGTCGACCCCAAAGCTCCCTGCTGTGCGACTACCAAAGTGCGTCTTGGGCAAGGACAATATGACTGTCTCTGGCAAGAACATTCCCTTTACGCGATCCATGTCGAAAGCGGCGCGAACTCAAATTCCCCTGCTTCCGACCATCGACGAGCTGTCGACAGCATGAACGTATGTGTTGGTGTTAACGTAGTATTATGTGTTTTGTCCCATAAATTGTACTGTACTTGCACGCGGACGCATTGTCGTTGGCCAGGAAGTCCACCAACTACCGGTACGTAGTCAAGTCGCTGGACACAACATCACCCTCGTCGAATAGATTTGTAGTCGTAAGAAACAACCTAACTTACAGGGTGGCAGTCCAGTTGTAGGTCAAATGTGCTGGCGCCGAGGTTGGACGAATTTGTATGGCTGAAAGGACTACGTATTTTAGCCAATAGAAGCGAAGCGAGTCGATCAAAACGCCATGAAAAGTCGAAGTCACATCGTGGACTACAGCGGGGTTCAATAGTATGAGGGGATTTCAAGTATGTACAACCATGCATGGCAAAGTCGAAATGCATCGTAGAATGAGACAATGTAACAAATACTACCTACGCAGGGACGTCTCATCACGAAATATATATGGATGTTTGCGAATTTATCTGAGCAAATCACGAAATATACTGGCAGTCCACGAAATCTATTGAGAGAATAATAGTGAATTCGTCGTTCCCACGAAAATTAAATGCCAAAGTCGCGAAATATAATCAAGCTCCATGTTAAATGGGATTCCACGAAATATAATAGTACCCGATATTTTTCGAAATTAACCGCAAAATGGTAAGTACTGTACTACTAGTACTACCATACCACGAATCCCCAAAACTACATAGTGATATTTTTGCCTCCTCGCTGTTTACGACGCCCTGCCAATCAACTTGGGCATTTTCTTGTTGGTGGAGTCTTCGACTTCCCTAGCTTTGTAATAATGGGGCGCAATCTCGACAAGCCACTCGCCCTTGATGGGAATCACTTGGCGCATGTATTCTTTCGACGTGAACGCGAGCTCGTGGTACACGACCCACCGCGGCATCTCTTCGAGCTTAATCAGCACGGAAGACGGGTGGATGTGCACCGTGTGCGTCTGCTTGATGGTCTTGTACGCACCCGACGAATCCAGTTTCGCCGTGTTGTAAAAGTACCCGGCACACAGCGCCTTGCGCACGCCTTCCGTGTTTTGCTCGTTGGACGACTTTTCAATCTCGACGCGGTCGCAGAGGGCGGCGAGCTGGTCGCGGACGTCGCGCGCTGTCTTGAGCGCTCGCGCGACTACAAAGTTTTCGTACGTCCACTGCGTCGAGTACTGTGTCTCTGCCCACTGATTGTACACGTTCATGAGCGAAATGTGGTCGCCACCGCCGCCCCGCGCAAAGTTGAGCCGAGCGTTGTCGGCATGCACGGCCTTGTCCTTGGGTCGGTAAAAGATGGTGTTGTTCACACTCAGCATCGCACACACCGTCAGGACTTGCTCCACGACGCCATACGTTTCCGACGCCAGCAAGGCCTTGGACATCATCGGGTCGAGGGGGAATTCCGCCATCCGCCGCCCGAGTTTGGTTAGCTCGCCGCGGTCGTTCAGTGCGCTCAGGGCGTACAGCTGCTCCAGCGCCCGGATAAGCGACTTCTCCGGCGGTGGGTCCATAAAGTCAAAGTGCAGCAAGTCGTTGATCCCGAGCGATTTCATCAGTAGCACCACGGACGTGAGGTTCGTGCGCTGGATCTCGGGCACGGTGGTCTCGTCCAGTTCGTGCTGATATGACCACGCCGTGTACAGTCGAAAGCACTTGCCGGGCTCTGTGCGGCCAGCGCGACCGGCGCGCTGGTTGGCCATCGCTTGGCTGATTGGCATCACGAGCAGCGACTCCATGCCCGTGTGGGGGTTGTAATTGGTTTGTTTGCAAAAGCCGGCGTCGATCACGTAGCAAATGCCGGGGATGGTCAATGAGGTTTCGGCAATGTTGGTGCCGAGCACAACCTTGCGGGCCCCGGGGGGAGTTGTCTCGAATACTTGGGCCTGGCGCTCGGACGGCAGCGTCGAGTAGATGGGTCGGATCAGCAGCTCCCGGATGCGGGACCCAAGCCCCCGTGTGCGGAACAGCAGCATCTCCTCGGCGGTTTCAATCTCTTCTTGGCCAGTGAGAAACACGAGAATGTCCCCCAGGGGCTGTGTGATGTGCAGCTGGAGTACCGTGACGATGGCGGCGTCTAGGTAGTCGGCCTCGGGTGCCCGCGTGTACAAAATGTCGACGGGAAACATACGTCCGGGGATCTTGACGATCGGGCAGTTGTCAAAGTACACGCTAAATTTCTCCGCATCCAGCGTCGCGGACGCAATGATCACTTTGAGGTCGGATCTGTACCTCGATATGTCCTTGATGAGCCCAAACAAGATGTCTGTGCTCAGCGTGCGCTCGTGCGCTTCGTCGATGATCATGACAGAGTACGACTTGAGGTCGGGCTCGGTAAGAAACTCACGGAGAAGCATCCCGTCCGTCATGTACTTGACCACAGTCTTGTCGCTGGTGCAGTCTTCAAACCGAATGCTGTACCCGACTTCGTTGCCGAGCTTGCAGTTCATCTCTTGCGCGACACGGGCGGCTACACTCATGGCCGCGACGCGCCGCGGCTGCGTGCACCCGATCTTGCCCAACTGCGAATACCCGACTTCGTGGAGGTACTGGGGCACTTGGGTCGTCTTGCCACTGCCAGTTTCCCCCACCATGATGATCACCTGGTGATCGCGCACGGCTTCAAGCAGCACGTCGCGGTACGCGTAGATGGGCAGCCGCTTGCGGCTCTCCTGCATGTCCAGGTGCTTGTGTTCGTCCGCGGCCTTGCGCGCGTCCTTGATGTCGGCCGGGGTGACGTTCTCGCCCGCCATGAGTCGCTGGGAGATGAACTCAATCTGGTCGTCAAACTCAAACTCGAACGTTTCATCGGGCGCGCGGTCCTTGGCGCCGTACAGACCCTGCCGCGTCGCGTTCTTGAGCTGCGTTTCCTCCCATCGCTCCTGTTCCGTCTTGACCTCTTCCTCGTCGTCGTCGTCGTCGTACAGTTCATCCTTCTTTACGACGCGGTCGCCGTTCTCGTCGTACTGGTCGGCCGCGTCCGGGATCTGGTACCCCAACGTTTTGTCGCCCTTGGCCTTAGCTTTTTGAATCGCCAAGATGGTTTCGTTCAATTCGAGCTGCTTGCGCTCCTTCTCGGTGAGGTTCTCGTCACCAAACAGCAAATGCTCGTCCTTGATCGACGACTCCACGAGCTTCTTGAGCTTTTCTTCGCGCTGTTCCAAGTACTTGCGTCGTTGCGCCAGCTTGATCTCGTCCAGCCGCTCGTCTCGCTGCTTGTCCGACACAGCACCTCGTGTCGCCAATTCACGGATCTCGTTGGCATCTAGGGACTCCTCTTTGAACTTCTTGCGGCGATTCCGAAACTCTTCGTCCTTGGCGCGCAAGCGCTCTTCGAACGCTTCCTTTGCGACCTGGTCGTCGTCTACCTTGTCGTCCGCTGCATCACCACCGGCTGCGCCTTGCTCCTTCTGCTTCTTATATGCAGACAGAGCCGCTCCAACTTGGTACTCCTCTGAATCATCGTCGTCATCGTTCTCCCGTGTCCGTCGCTGCTTGCGCTTCTCTGGTTTCCGCGACGTCATGTGTGTGGTGCGGCGTCTGGCGCAAATTGCAAGATGTACGGTCTCATACTCGTACATTAAAGGTACAGTACATTCCCGAATTATAGCAGATAGACAGTACACTGTACAATACGTACAGCCGTGCAGCAATATGATTGGCCAATGAAATTGTCGAACACATGCACTTTTGTTCAATTTCGTTTGAACTTCCATTTAGCGCCAAGGCGACGGTCGGCATCGGCGGCTGGATGGACATGGCTCCACCCATACTCATAGAGTTCCTCGACGATGGTGTTGACTTCTCGGCCATATTGAGCCAGTTGGTCGCCAGCAGACAAAGAAGCACTATTGCCACAACCACGACATTGGGAGCATTGATCTTGCATACCTCGTTTGCCCTTGTTCTCACCATGCACGTTGGTTACCTCTTTCGACGTGTCCTACTTCACCGACAACGACCCCCCATCTCCCCACGGCACTTGTTGACCACGTACATTCCAACCTCGGAGCGTCCAGAAGACGTACATGCCACCGTTAAAATCGCGACGTCCATCCACCTAGCCAACCTCGTTCCCGGCTCTGTCCTATTTGCAGCGTATGCCACCATCTACTACGGAATGCACTTGGAGATTTCTCACACGATATCCATTGCGTCCACTCTGAGCTACTGGTCGTATTCGCTCACGATTGTCGGCGTGCTGGCCGCCGCGTTTGCTTCGAAGCATGACGTTGTCGCTAGCATCGCCGCTCTCCTGGGCACGGCTGTGATCTATCCACCTGTGTTGTGGTGTTCTTGGCTTGACGAAGGATGGTTCAATCCCCGCGCGTCGAATTCAGTCTTTGGTGTCGGCGCCGTGGATTTTGGTGGCAGTGGGGTCCTCCACGTCGTCGCAGGCACAATGGTTCTAGTCCTGTCGTTGGCCTTGCCATCTTCCACAACACCATCCACCACACCTGTCAAACCACTTCCTCATTATTCCAGCTACGCTTCCGCTAGTACCATGACCCTTTGGCTTGGCACGTGCAGCCTGCTGGTCAATCGCATGGTTCTGGTCGTGCCCGCCAACTACTACGTGTCCACCACAATTGCTTGCCTCGTCAATCCAACGCTGGCGTTCGCCGGGGGTGGACTCGTCGGTTACTCCATCGACTTCTTCGTCCAAAACAACCACCATGCGTTGAAGTCTCGCAGTTCCCCCGACGCCGTCCACACTTGCTCTGCGGCTGCTTTGGTGGCCATTGGAAGTCTTGGACCGTTGGCCGAGCCGTACGTGGCATGTCTTGTGGGCGCGTCGGCTGCGGTCATCGTGCTCGTGGTATCTCACCTCCCTTGGCTTCAGGCACTGGACATCCCCCTGCAACAAACCATAGCCATCCATTTAATCGGTGGCATGTGGGGTGTGTTCATGGGAGGGGTCGGCGGCGCGCCTCGCAACCAAGACGACATCTACGGACATGGCCGGCACATACACAGCTTTGGCCTGCTCTACAAACACCGCGGCAGTGGCGGCACGGGGGTCCTCCAGTGGGCCACCAACCTCCTCTACCTCGGGTGTGTGATGCTCTGGACAGCCTCTGTCACACTCGTGTTGGTGTGCGGTTTGCGTCGATTTGGCCTTGAAAGCGACAAGCCCCACGTTGCTTTTGACACGGACATGTATGCTGGAGAAGATGGCTACGTGGCGCTTTTAGACGACGACGACCATACGTCAGTGGCGGTGAGGAGTCCTGGGCATCGCCGCCGATCGTCTGACATATTGCGGCGAGTATCGTCTCCAATATCGCCCATGCCCCCCGGTTCGGTATCGCCTTCGCTGGAAGAACTACAAGGACGACGTCGCAACTCCCCTTTCCAGTGGGTCTGACACAAGCAAGGTCAAACCAGACGTGGCTGCAAGGTGTGGCGATTTGAGGGAATCGATCCACTGGCATGTTCCGAACACAGCTGGCGCATGTAGCCATGCAAAGAACTTTCAAATGCAAGAAATTACGATGGAAACAACAGGCGCAATGTTGTAGATGCGCTGGCTACAAGTCAATGTTCCCGAATGCCAGCCAACAACGAATCGAATGCGCACGATTCTACTGAATATTCGATTTTAGACCCCCCAAATCGAAAAGTCCATCCCCTCATGGGGCAAAAAACCACATGGCCCTTGGTTTTCCCAAACGCTGATGTAGAAGATTTTGGCAAGAAACATGTACATCCGGCAGTAAACTACACGCTCAGCATGATTGCAAACAGCACTTCGGAGATGTACCACCCTGGGGGCTTCGAGTTTGAGGAAGTTGGCCACCGGTACGTCCGACGCGTCTTGTAGAAGGATCATCAGCACTCCGCCTTGCAAGTAGTTTATGGCAAAGCTCCAAGTGACCAGCGCAATCATCACGACATGATGGGCCATCATAATCAAGTACAGATCTTTTCGCACTTCTTCGAGAAACTTGTACGGGAACTCCGTGTACGGCCAAATGGCGTAAGAAAGAGGATGGGATGCATCGTGTGTGGACCAGGTATGTACTGTACCAGTTGTTCGGCGATGTATAAGAAGTTGGTATTGAACTTTTGATCGGAAAAGTCGCACGTGGGGCTAGCCAAATTAACGAAAGATGCGTTTGTGCACATACCAAGTATCAATGTGGCAGTTGGAAGGTGCGGATTACGAATCGATCACGCGGAAACACATGACATCCCCCACCTGTGGAGTTTCGATTTCAAGCTCGCCAACTACTTCGAAGTATGATTTAGTGTGAATAAGGCTACTGTAACCATGCCTAGCATGTTGTACAACTTCAGCTCAACATGAATGCACTTAATCTTCCTTGTCAGAATCCGACCTGCCTTCGTACTCCACCTCGGCGGCGGTGTGGACCCCACTGTTGCTGAGCGCGTTGTAGAGCAATCGAAGCAGTAGAAACGTCCACCAAATGTGCAGGGCATACAAGGCCAACAGCATCAAGTTGAACCCGAGCCACGAAATTGTGAAGTCCCACGTTTCGAGCGGCACAGCGCAGGCAGCTCGGCTTTCCCACATACTGGAGCGGATGATTTTGGTTGGGAACATGTACACCCGGCAGTACAACCACACGCTCAGCATGATTGCAAACAGCACTTCAGTGATGTAGAACCCCTGGCGGGCTTCAAGTTTGAGGTAGTTTGCCATCTTGAGCAGATCCAACGGCACGTCCGATGCGTCGTGGAGAAGGAGCACGAGCACACCGATGGGCAAGTAGTTCATCACAAAGCTCAACGTGACCAACGCAATCGTCACCACGTGATGGGCCATCATGACCAAGTAGTCCTTGCGCACTTCTTCGAGAAACTTGCACGAGAACGCCGTGTACAGCCAAATAGCCTGTGGATTGATTCAAGCGTGAAATTCCACGTTGCTTGGTCGATAAACCACCAGGTAGGAGCATGATCTTTCGTACCAGTTGAGCCATGTACAATAATGTGGTCATAAGCTTGTGTTGGGAGTAATCGCAGGTTGGTCGGGCGGAATTCCAAACTACAGGGGGGGGGGTCAGACAGCCAAAAGAGCAGACCTGGTTTGCGCTGAAGTTATTGCAAGTACGCACGTACGTGTCGTTGTATCGCTCCACCACGCTTCGTCCTGCAAGACGTACAGCTCCAACACTGTCATGGACGCGTGAATGACCAGTTGCCACGATTGGTCGGTGAACTTGCGCATGGTCACGTCCTTCTTGAGTGGGTCGCCCAAATGCTTGAGAAATCGCTGGGAGATGTATCGTCCCCCCACACAGAACGATCTTTTCGTGACCCCAACGGCAACGGCCACAACTGCAAGCAGCCCCCCCAGCAACCCCAGCAGATCAAGGGGCAACACTCCAACCACTACGATGCACTCCACCACGATCAACGCGGAGAGTAAACCGTCAAGGATTGCATGGGGCGGCTTCTTCACCACCTTAGTTGGAACTGGCGACTGCGGACGCATGTCGTGCTAACTCGATCCTGACGTTGCGAGTCGAAAAGTGCAAAATGCAGGTGTCGCTATCGAGAGTGTTGGTGGCATGGGCGTACACTCCTCGCACTTGATTGATTGATGCTGTCGCAACGACTACTGTATTACTTTGAAGTACTGTATACTAGTAGATAGTCAAAACACGGATGGGTTTACAGTTAACCATGTCCCGTTCAACCTAGTTATATGTCATATGGAGGGCTAGCGATTAGTACTTTATAGTTAGTCGTCCTTGCCCGAATCCGAGGCGCCTTCGTACTCGTCTTCTGCGACATCGTGCACGCTCTTGGTGAGCACCCCCTTCAAGAGGCGGAGGATCAAAAACGTCCACCAAATGTGCAGCACGTAGAGACAGCTGAGGAGCAAACTGAATGCTAACCAAGATGGAGGGCCGGGGCTGGGGAAGATGATACTCAGGTCGTGTGCTTCGTGGGGCAAACAGCATGCTTCTCGGTTTTCCCAGAACGCCGTGTAGATGAGCTTGGAAGGAAAGAGGTACACGCGGAAGTAGACCCACACCGTGAGCATGACGGCGAAGAGTACTTCGGAGAGGAAGAACCCCTTGCGGTCTTCGAGTTTGAGGTAGTTGGCCATTTTGAGCAGATCCAACGGCACGTCCGACGCGTCATGCAGGAACAGCACCAGCACACCCACGGGAAGGAAGCCCACGGCAAAGCTCCACGCGACCAGCGCAATCGTCACGACGTGGTGCGACATCATAATCAAGTAATCCTTGCGCACTTCTTCGAGGAACTTGCACGAGAACGCCGTGTACACCCAGATGGCCTGTGAAGAAAGAACACGTGAAGCCCACATATTCATACAGCTGCTCGAATGACACGTACAAGTTGAGTAATGTACAGAAAGTTTGTGAGGAATTTTTGGTCGGAGAAGGCACATGTCGGGCTGTTGTGGTTCCACACTAATGGAAGGGTTGACATGAATATTGTCAGGATGGGGACAACGTACATGTGGTCGTGTCATTCCACCAGGTTTCGTCTCGGATGACGGCGTATTCTAACACTGACATCGACCCATGGATCATCAATTGCCACGATTGGTCGGTGAACTTGCGCATCGTGACTTCCTTGCGGAGGGGGTCCCCCAAATGCTTGAGGAAGTGGCGGGACACGAACCTTCCCACGACACGGAACGACGCCTTGGTCGCCCATACGGCAACCGCCACCACCACGAGCATCCCACCGAACATGGCGAGCAAATGTTGCGGGAGGACGCTGTAGATGACGACGCACTCGATTGCAACAAGCGAACAGAGCAACCCGTCAAGGAACGCATTGGGCTTGGGAACCTTCTTGGACTGAGGCAGAGGCTTCTTTGTCGTCGGGACTTCCGATGGTGTCGCCGACGCTGCTGACACAGCCATGTCGTCAAAAAGGGAAAATGAGGTGGCACGTATTGTTTGATTAGGATGTAATGTTGCAGGTTATTTGGCCCTGCATAATTAAATTTCACGTGTTGTTTCGTCGAGAATCCATTGGTATAGTCTGTGTCATATTTCATAATAACACAGGGTATGCGATGATACAGGTTATCAAAAGCAACAGTTACTTCGGCTTAGCGATCATTTACAGTTACTTCGATTTCCACTCACACTACTGCCAAATCAAAGGCCAAATAGGAGGGACGGTTTATGGTGCACAGTTTACAGTTAACTTAAAATATGTTGGCGGATTTTGCTTATGATTGGCTATTCCTGAATTCAAGTGATACCATTGGCCATTTTCAGTGAAGTATAAACTGGCCGTCTACATTACAGTAGTACATTGTGTTGCGCTTTCAAGCTAAATTTGGTATTTTTGGTAGACGTCAAATCCACCTGAAATCGTCGAGACGTCATTTTACTTCACATTATTAACTAACTGTAAATATACTCATTGTCTGTCCGATACAATGTTGAACTCTGTGAAATGGAGAAGCTTGGCAATGCATGCAATTTGATTGGTCGAGTGGTATTTTTTCCCGCAAATTTCATTGGCTACTTCGGTCCGTCGATTATTGTGTCGATTATGCTTCGTCGATTCGATTGGCAGCCCCAGTCCGTTTTGAAATCGAATTATCAATACTCGTAGTACCTTGGTGAAAAATTGTACTGGTACTAACCACGATAACCATGTGGAACCTGTACGAATCAACCCTGGTAAAAAGAATTCAGGATCGATGTCACAAAAACGGGAAAATACAGTATTAATACCACAGTGAAATGTCGGGCCACTCTGGCTGCCACAAAACATGTCAGAAAACATTACTTTTTAGCAACTTTTCAGAAATATTATGACAATTTTTCAAATTACAGCGTTTGAGTGTTTGGCTACCAAATCTGACATATACTTTGAAGTATAAATAGAGTGACACAATGATGAGATACGTCGAATTTTTTATGACAGAAAAAAGTTTCAACTGCAATAGTCCAAGTTTTACCTACATGTTATTCCATCAATACATGTAGTTTCCATTCCATCGTGGCATCCAGTGGTCACAACAAAATCTTTTGCTATGATGTTCTCACCTCCAATTTGAAAAGGGAATTCTCTGTCAGAATATTATTGATATTAAAGTTTCTGTGGAATACAACCCTAAGGGCTGCCACGAAAAATGTCAGAAAACACGTCTTTTTAATCAGAGCGTGTGTCAAACGAAAGGGCAGAGTGCATGTTACAGTGTTAGTACTACTACTAAAAGTACAACTTTAGCGCAACAAGTGTTGGTTTTCTGCGCTCAAAATGGCCATGCTTTCCAGATACACCAAGTGCTGCAGCTCGTTCTTGGGCATTTCCACTCCTTGGTCCAACGACTCGCGCTCAAAATCAAAATTGAACGCCGACGTTGCCACCGGTTCGTCCGCCTACAAATATAGCCCACGAGCTAAACGTCAAAAGTACCACCACCAAAATAGAACGGCTTACGGGGTTGTGCAGCTGGGTCAGGTACGGATGCTCCAGCGCTTGGGTGACCGTGATGCGATTGTCAGGGCTGAACTTGAGCATGCGGGCAAGCAAATCGATGGCCAGCGGGTTGGCTTCCGGAAAGAACTCGGTGAGGGGTCGCTAGCATCATCTCGATCAAATTGTAACCCTTGAAACCAATGTAAAATGCTGTCTGCTGTACCTTAGGGTAGTAGCCATGCTGTGTAATGGCCTTCTTGGCTGCTTCATGCGTGACAAACATCATTTCGTCGGGCGTGGGGGACCCGAGTATTCTCACGATCATGTGCAGCTGGTCGGACGGGTCCTTGCCGGTGAAGAACGGCCGGCGCTTGAGCATCTCGGCGAAGATGCACCCCACGGCCCACATGTCGACGGCATTGCCATAGTTCTGGCAGTCTGTGAGCAGCTCCGGCGCGCGATACCAGCGCGTGACGACGTACTCGGTCAGGTCTTCGTTGTGCGAGAGCTCGACGCCGCGGGCGAGTCCAAAGTCGCAAATGGACAAGTCGCAATTCGAATTGACGAGCAAGTTGGACGGCTTTAGGTCGCGGTGCAGTACGTTCGCCGAGTGGATGAATTTGGTGCCGCGGAGGATCTGGTACAGAAAGTACTGAAAGTGCGCGTCGCTCAGGGTTTGCGTGGACGAGATGATGCGTTCCAAATCGCTTTCCATCAAGTCTGTGACGATGTAAATGTCGTCAAAGTTGGTCGTGTTGGGGGGAATTAAAATCACGTCCAGGATCTACGTGAAGACACGCATGCCAAGAATCAACAACAACAGGGACAATGCAGCATGAGTGAGATGCAGCGGTACGTTGATGATGTTTTCGTGCGCGCCGAGGTGCTTGAGCAGCTTCATTTCGCGCAAAATACGCTTGGCGTCCGTGAGGTCGTCAAACACATCTGTGATCTTCTTGATAGCCACCTTGCGGCCGCGGAGCTACACACGCCAAGATGCGTCAAAAAGGAAGGGTACCATTGACAAATGCCTAGCGCATCAGCGACATGCTCCTTACAGTGTCTTCGGCGGAAACGACGATGCCGTAGGACCCGCCGCCAATGGGGCGCAGATTCGTGTAGTGTGAGCGCACCTCAAACATGTCCCGAGACACTGTCACGCAGTGGAAGTCAGGGCCATAGCGCGAAGGTTCGACAGTCGACATTGGCCAGGAGCCTAAATGCAGAAATATCTCAAGCTTGCCGTTTGGATCTTGCAATGGATTTCACAGGTCTCAAGACAAAAACGTTTTGTCGTCCTTTTTATTTTATCTTTGTATGAGCGAATTGTAAGGCCCATTTCTATTTTTGACCGAAAAAAAGCCGAATTGGCCGATAAATAGAATGGCTCGATGGTTTCGAATTTTCCACAAAATGCATATTCTTTAATAGTGAGACAAGTTGGCTGAGCTGGCATGTGATGGGCCTATCGTACCATCACTTGATTGCGGCAACACTTCCGCTGGTGTTGGCAAACCCTGCTACTTGATGCACTACACTCATACGCCTTGGTGGCATGCTGCCAGCTTGCGTGGAAAGAGCATTGCGTACGCCTTGGACGTGGACGAAAGTTTGATTGTACATGCAGCCTTCGTTGAGTACATGCTGCGCGGGGGGACAGCATTGTCGGCCACGGCTATGCTTATGCAGGAGCTGCTACTCTCGACGTCCCCGTAGGTTGAGGAACTACTGCTGGTCTCATCACTCAATACTGCATGAGGTCCGTCTTCTTCCAGTACGGTGTCCAGGACACCACAGCGCGCAATGCATTTTCGATCGATCATGTGGAGATCGTATTGCGGAATCACGTCGCGACAAAAGTACTCGACGTGCATCGGATCAATCACATCCTGGCTCCCCATGAATCCTCGCAGGATCGACGCACATTGGAGCTTCACGTCTTCGTCAAGTCCATAGTCAGGGTTTGTCAAGAGCACATGGGCACCGCGGAGGTACGCGAGGAAGCATTCTTCCCGGTGGCGGCGGACGTAGCGCGTGATGAACGCGCTACGTTTGGGGAATGGCAGAAGCTTGAGTCTGTCCACGACGGAATGAAGCATAAAGTAGTACGGCTGGACCACTTGCAAGAGACGCATTCGAAGGGCCGCAAAGTCCGAGTACCGACGGCGCACAATCCAACTGCGGCCTGATTTTGCATTTTGCATCGTGACAGTGTACAGTCGAAGGTTCGCGCTGGACCTAGCAAGGACATTTTTATTGTCGCCTCCTTCCATCAGCTTGCTCGACGGCGATGGTGTGCGACTTGCGATTGCATGCACGTGACAGAAGTCGACTTGGTGCAGATGTTCCATGGCAGCCTCGACACCGCCTTTCTTTGGAGGAACGTAGCGCATGGAAGGGCGTCGGGAACGGTGAAGCATGTGCATGAGACTTGGCATTCACACGAGTGGAGTAAGCATTACGATGAGGTGTGGCAGTTACTCGAGGCAAAATTGCTGTTGGAAGGATTTTCATCGAACGGACTGAAAGTATTCCGCGGAATGTTCCATCGAACGATATTTCGTGACAAAGAATTACCCCAGCCGTTGCGTCGTTTCCACTAACGTAAAATGCCAATTTTTGACATACGTAGTAATACTACTAATAGTACAACTTTTACTAGTATTTGATTTCAAAACATGGGCATATCTCCGGCGCCCTGCTTCATCATTATCGAATTCTAAATAACGTAAACAATGAATTTAAGAGATTCAATCAATTTAAGACGTATGTGCTAGAACCAATCAAAAGTCGTAAAATTTTCGCGGCATAACCCGTGCAAATTTATACACTCAACGCACTTGAAAAACATATTGCCGCCTTTCCATGCCAGGACCAACATCGTCGCGGTCGATATTGCTTGGAGAAGCTGCAGCAAGCCGTTCATACTGAGCGGTTTTGAGATCGCTGGGACGGTGTCGCTCGATAACATGATGCAACGGTTCAAATTACTCAAAGACGGAGGATCGCCCGTCCTACGTTCATGCGACATGGTAGTTGGTACATCAGGAATTCGAACGGAAGTGCTTGGAACGATGAGCAGCCCGGAGACGGCGTAGTGGAGCCTTTCTTGCTTGTGGATTCGGTCGTAGTCTAGCTATTGAATGTGAACGATATATTTGTTGATGTATTGTACCTATGTATCTCAATGTATCCTCCGAAACACCACTTTGGATTCCCAACTCAAAATGGAATGATGGTTAATATGGGTGAATATGATCACTTTGCGGACACGTTCGGACAATTTCAGTCGGACATACTTGGCATTTGTATTGGACTTAAGGGGAACATATTTTGTCCGAATGAAAGTGTCCGAACGGAATATGTTCGGACATACTTGTGTATTGTATTAACCCGCATAAGAACGATCAGCTTTTCAGTAGCGAGCGACGACAGAGCTTCCGCCCACAAAATTGCGCCACCGCAGCGTAGCGGAGGTCGTGTGTATAATTTTGTGCAGGCGGTGCCTTGGCGAGGAGTGAGCCCCAATCGTGCACTTCACCGAATGTCCAATCGATTCCTCTTGTCGGGAAAAGCGGCAGGTAGGACGCAGGCCGTGCCGCTACCCGGACAAGGCCTGTGGTACAACTATTCGCATTTAATGCGTAAATTCGGTTAAGTGCGTGTCCGAAGCACATATCCAGCAAATATTTGTCCGAGTCGTTATGGTATGGAACACTTGTGAATGCATAACCTATGGAAATGGATTTGATCATGCTACAATTTGATAACCTAACCAAAACATTTATCTGCAAATAGGTATACCATCTTCAAGATACAAATGTGCGTCGTAAATTGATTGTCAAATTTGGATTAAACTTGCTTGGATTTTGTGGATTTAGTCATTGAAAATGAACCGATACCCAATATAATTGGTACTATGAGGTTGTTCCCCATTAATCCAGCTACAATCTCCAAGTTTCAGAGGTAAAAAATGTTGAACGAGCGTGGACCTTTGAAAGTTCTCCCCAGCCGCCTTCCTCAGATGCGTCTTAAATTGATTGTTTACGTTAGCCCTAAAGGTAGAGAATTCCCTGGTGAACAATCCATAATTAAGTTCTTATGCCCTTGGACAAGGCTTGGAGTCCTTGAAACCGTTAACCTACGTGGCACTTTACGTTAGGTACAGCAATCTGAAACTTGCACGATCTCTTGCCCAACTCTTCAAACGTCTATAACATTTCAAGTTGCAAGGTCGCAACGTCATATTCACTGCATTAACGTTACAATCGAGTAGATGTATCTATACTTTCGTCTTCTGCAGCACCTCGTTCCTCTACTTGGGCAAAAATGTCGCCGTCGTCTTCGTAGTTTCGCACGAGTCGACTCGCCTTTTGTTGGCCATGATTGTTCGGCGTGATAACTTCATCGCGTTCAAACCCGAGGATCACGGGCTTCCGCAGCTCCAACAGCTGCACCATCGTGTCCTTGAATGCTTGATCTTTGGGGATGCGGCGACCATTGATGCTCGCCAGGGCATCGCCTACCTGCACCATGTTGGACCGCCGCGCACACCCCTGCAGCAGCAACCGCTTGACAACCACCGCACCCCCGCAGAACTCGAACGTGAGACCCAGGTCCCCTCCATGCCACACGACGTTGAACGACCGGGCAAACTTTTGCATCGTGTCTAGATCTTCGGAAATGCTTCCGAGGAAGTCGTCGTCGTCGTTGTCGTCGAGGACGTCGCTGCTGGACGCGTCCGAGATGGTATCCATGCTTGCCAAATTCTTGCTGTCGTTCTTGCCAAGATCGTCACGCGGGGTTGGCATAGCATGATTCGACGGACTGGTCAGCGTATTCGTGGCGGGGGTGGCATAGGCTTGGGCGTTGGCAGGACACATGCGGAAGCGTAGCACGGTGGGGAACGTTGCGGACCGGAGCATCGCCGCCAAATCGGAGGCCGACATGCCTCTGGTGGCCATGTTGTTGACCGCCACAAGCGCATCCAGGAGAATGCTCCGGTGTTGTTTGATATGCAAAGTGCAGTCGTCCTTGACGCGCTTGATGTACGGCGTGGCGTCGTCCGTGCCGAACACGAGGCCGAGGGGGGCTTGTTCCCACAACAGTTCGTACTCGAGATGCTGGGACTCTGCTTTGAGTGCATGTCGGGAATAACATCGATCGATACGGGGTCGCGACGTCTTGTGACTGCTGCAAGGTATAGCGTTGTTGGTGGTGCTGGTGGTACTGGTTCTGTCCATCCACGGAGGAGTTGCCTTGTTTTCCTGGGGGGGTCGGGGGGGTGGTCGAAAGAGCAACAAGCAAGGTTTGTCTGTCTTGGCCAAAATGGCACATGTAGTGTCAAACATGTACGGTGCTACCGCGGAGCCGTTGATAGACAACAGCGTATACCCGTGCTGGACGCGGTCGATCATAGGGGACCGACCTTTCCCCGTGAGCCGGTTCACTTTCGGCATCCCCGTGTCCGTACATTCGACAAACGTGAGGCCCAAGGGCCCTGAGCGCCACACGATGAAGATCTCGCCCCTAGTTTCGTCAAGTGTGGTCGCCGCCACCGACAGCCGATCCAGTCCGGCGACGCTGCTTTCGGTGCCCCGGGAAGACAAAAACGTGCTATATCGTTGCTGGGTCATGGACGTTGGCGTCGGGGGTACAATGGAGATCGGCAGGGGTTCTGTCAACAGCGTCGGGCACAGTCGTCGAAACTCGAGAGTTGCTGGCTTTTTGACGGTTGCGAGCAACTGCATCGCCGCCGTGAGTTCCATGGCGATCGTGTCCTGTGCATTGATGGCCACAAGAACATGACCACAACCGAGCCCACAACATCGAGCTAGTGTGTCGTTGCGGTCGGTGATGCGGTTAACGACAGGAATGGCTTGAGGGCCATCCGAGGTAAATGTCACTCCTAACTTTTCGTTGTCGTGCAGCACCACAAAGAAGCGTTCGCTGGGAACCACGCTTGACGACTTCAAGCGCAAAACCTAGTCGTATTAGGTTAGGGCCAAAGTGACAATACGGTGTCTACGAATAATCGTACGGTGGGAATGTCTGACATGCGGAGCATGCCCATGGCAGCATGGGGATCCATGTCAGCGACGGACATGCCGCCGATACTCTCGAGGTAATCGCCCACCCGAATGCCTTCCGTCCAAGCAAACGGTCCCGAGATGGAATCCACCACGAGGCTGGTGCCGCTGTTGTTATAGCTTACGTGGAACCCAGGCACACCGCCGCGCCATACGATGAACTTGCACCGATTAAACGCTGGGTGCGAGTTGAACCACGTCGCAGGCACGTTGCGATGCGTGGGGGACTGGGGCATGTCGTCTTCGAGGAGCGCCAGGGGGCTGGACGGCCGCCCTTCCAGCAGCGCCACCACGCGACCACTGCGACTTGTAGGCGACGTATTATCACGATGGACGGACGGCATCGTTTGTGGTTTCTTTCGTTTTTCCAACACGGTCGTCACGAGCGACGGAAGCGAAAAGAGTTTCTTCAACGAATGCTTGGTAAAGTGCCGATCCAATAGCGTCGTTCCGCCTCGTTGGCGCGCGCTATCCACTCGAAGCTCCGGAATGTCCGAGTCGAAGCTAGCGTCTCCACACGTGTCATGGTAATTGTTTTCTTCGTTGGGAGTAGACGTCAAATCGTTGATGGCGAGCACGACATCTGGTTCCACAACTTCGTCGATCTTTTCGATGATGTTGTCGTCGTTGTTATTGTCCATCTCGACTTGGTTGGTCGACGCAATTGGCTTCGTGGAAGCTGTTTTGGTGGCGGGGAAGTCGCTACTTTCCGGCTCATGTGCATTTGGAGGATGCACGAGGGCAGCCGCCCATGTGGTATTTTTGAGCAAGTCCTTCAGAATTGCTTCGTCCAGAAGGGGGAGACTTCCGCAGCTGCTCGCGCGTCGCAGTGCAGTCGCGCGTGGATTCACCTTGATCGTGGCGCCGCGGGCCATTTTGTGCGAGTTAGCCAAAGGTTTTCTCGCTTTCTTCATGCTTGTGGATCAGGCTATTTTTAACTCAACGAGAACTCATGGCCGTTACATTTTGATCCAATCAAACGCGAACAAAAGCCAAACGGTGTTTGTGCCCCGGGGTACAAAATGAAATAGTGTTATGCTGAATTATAGTGTGACACGATTGCCGATATACATGTCGGAGGCGACAGCAACTCTTCTTTCGCGCTGTGCGCTGTGCGAAGTGACAGTGGATGGGAGACCAGACCAGTGCGTGACAGACTGTGGCCACGTGTTCTGCGTCTCCTGCGCGTGCCGGTACCTTGGCCACAACAAGAACAGATGCAGCGTGTGTCAAGCACATATCAAAATTGTGCGACAGATGGACGCATTCGGGAACGAAGCGCAGCGCGAAAAGCCATGCAGCGTCAAATTTTGCAACGTCACGTACATCTTATACGTGAGCATTTGGAGCGTAGACGATCCGACCAGCAAGCTGGCATCGTTGTTTTACCTGTACGTCCAATCTCGTCATGGGCATAGAAATGTTACGAGTGCCTTAGCGACCATGCTCGCTTGATTCATCAAGGCAAGATCATCAAAAAGGGTGACGTGTGGCCAGGCACCGTTGTGCAGTTGGTAGGCACGAAGAAGGATGCCGGGACTCCATTGCATGCCGCCATAGCTTCGTCCAATTCCACGCCGACACCGTCCATGCTAACGTCAGTTTGGGCGACGCTCATTGCGTGGGCGGGGGCTGCGTTTGCGTTGATCCTATCCCCACTCAAGTTGATCTACTTATTCTTTCACTCCATGGTACACGGAGACGACTACCAAGCGCTGCCCCAGCGACGGTATGCGCCGCCGGTCGATGCCCCCCTTCAGGCAACTACTTCGTCCTTTCAGCTACCAGGAGCAGTGCCCCTGCCGCCACCCACCGACACGGTCGAGTAATAGCGAGCTATTAATGAACAAACACTTCAACAATGCTGGATCGTGACTTTGCCTGGGAATACGCCCCAGGGGGGTCATATTATTAGGGCAGTGACAGGATACCCATGAGGAGTGTAGGATGAGACCCAACTTGCAACACAGAATGCATCTCGGCAACACCATTTCGAACCGAGAATGAGTTGACGCTGGTGTTTTTCTCAGAGTGAAAGCCATTCGCTTTAAGTTACACGCGATCAAATCCAAACGCCCCATACGTCAGCGCCACTGTGATCTTTTCAATCAAAATCTCCTTTGTCGGGTACTCGGGCAACATCAATTGGTGGTCGCTACCATGAAACGATATATAGTTAGCTTTAGTCATATCGGACAGGTTGCGTGCGTACCACGTCACAGCTTGTGGACATGGCCAGTGCTCGGAATGATCTCGCGTTGTCAGCTTAATCGACCAAGTTCCCTACATTTACCTATTAGCATATATGGATTTAGTTGTATACATGTATACATATACCCCCATCGCGTCATAGCCAAACAACGGCGGCAGTGACGAGCCCGACCAAAACGTAAGCAATTGACGTAGCATGGGCTGGTCCATTTCATGCACCGCCTGCCAAAAGCGCACAATGGTCGGGTGTTCGGCATGCGCAGGTCGGACGTAGTGTATGTGCTCTTGTAGCGCCTTCACATCAACAGTCACCGCACCCCGGGCCACGCCTTGCAACTCTGTGGCACTCAGCCACAACAAATCGCGCTTGTAAATCACATCCAACATTCCCTGTCATTGATCAACCATAATGAGAACACCAACATATACTCGATCGCCTTCGTTGTACCTTTTGAAACGCCTGCATGTGTGTCATTTGATTGCAAAAGAACCGCTCGGCACGCAGCTGGACGTAGCGCGCTTTGTTGTCGTTCGTGACGCGAATGGATTTGCCGCCGACTTGCAACTCGATTTCTGTCGACGGGTAGTGGTGGGTCGTGCCGTCCTCGTCCGCAGTGCCGACGACTGTGACAGCACCACACGATTCAAAGTACAATTCCCACGCATCATTATTGTCATCCGTGCCGAAATCGTGGTCGAGAACCGCAGCCAAACTCGACTGGAACTGGGGGCTGTGGGACGTGTAGTCTTGCCACGTCAGCTTGTCCGTGCCCCGCACCAGTTTCCAAAATGCCTCGGGCAGATGTACCCCTAACGGAGCTTGGTGTCGCAAGGCCAGCCCCGTCAATCGCCCGGCGCAACGATACACCTTGCCAAGCTCGACGTTTTCCACGATGTGGTCAAATTGCGTGTGAACAACTCCATTGTCGTCTTTGGTTGGAGCGCATACCACAGACAGGGGGTGGTTATGAAGGCACAACAAGCTCTGGCTCGCGTCCGTGAAGGCGAAAATGGGCAGCCACAGCGCCGACGAGTGGGTTATCTTGGCGTCCGCCTTTAAATCCTTGGCCGATGGCAGCTGCAGCGTCGTTGAAATGTTATGCCTGGCCAAGTGCAGCCATTGGCTGAAAATGGATTTCGCACTGGTCGACGCCACAACGTGGTCGGTGTGTGGATCCAACGACATCGACAGGTTTGGGTTGAAAAAGTGCTTCCCCACGAGCTCAAAGAACTCACTACAACGAAACACCAAAAACCACATATATCGTGAGTGTTTTCACGATTGCAATTTCGGAACGATTGAATGTGAACACACGAACCGAAGGGGACCAACGCCAATCGCTGGTTCGTTCAAGAATTTGATTTCCATTTCACCCGTCAAGTTTCGAATGGATGTACATAGCACCTACACATACAGTATGTCGGGTGAGGCTCCATTTTATTATTATTCATGGTTGGTTGGTCCTGTACGTACCTGTTGAATGACAAAGTCCAGAAAACACTCTGGCGATACTTGCCGATTGATCGTCAGTTGAAAATGCCCTGGGCGCTCCTCCGCGACCGTTTCAATGTACTCCAATTTGTTTTCCGTCGTGATAAAGCTCGCGTGGGTCGTCCATTCTTGAAAATACTCTGGAAGCAATCGCACTTCCGAGCTACAACAGACATTTCATTTTTAAAACACAAACGAGTACGGTGTACATATCCAGACGACATACCGAATCAAATCGTTCACGTTCGTTCGCAGTGGCTGCATCCACTGGACAAACGACGCGGGCAACCCAAACGCAGCCGACACAAGGTTAAGGCTCACGGGAACTTTGGACTGGTCCGAGTCTCGCCACGTATGTGCGTGGGGTTTTTCCACTTGGGCTTTGAACATCTACATACGTCGCGATGTTATTCACACACGAAAATCGACAATGGAACACGTACGCGAACCAACCGGGGGAGTTGATCCGATTCAAAGCACGCTTCAAGCTGGGCCACGAGTTGCAACACATGCAGTGTCGCGGCAAACCGATCGGGGGCGTACACTTCGCCAGAAATGGTCTGCAACGCTAAGTGCACGAGGAACTTCAACTCCACCAAGGGTTCCGTGACCACCTTGAGCACATCGTGGACGGGGTCGACCTCGTCAGGCAACGACGTCACGTACGGCACAAGCCACAACATGAGCATTTCAAGTTTCGAAAGCAACAACTTGATCTCGACTTCATCGTCCGCCGTGTCCGCGTCGCACAAGTTGAACATCAACCGCTTGACTACGGTTCAGCACAAGAATGTTTAGGGGATTGTGGACAAAAGAAGTTGGTTCAAAATATATCCCCGACACATACCTGAACGAGCCATGGACGTCGTGATTGCAGTCAAGTCTTCGACATTGTTCAGTTGGCCTCCAGAACCAGGCGCGTATAATTTCAACACATCGGCGATGATGTAGGCCCATGTGGACAGAAATCGCGGGTTTGGATGACCCTCCGTCAACCCCTTCACGAGCCACCTACAATCGCATGACGATAAGTGGATTGTTTTCATGAGAACGATAAGGGAGAAAGACAACGTACCTTAGCGTTTTGTCAGTGAAGGGATACTTTATTGCACTGGATGCTGTGTCGGTGGCGATGTCTGGGCGGCGAATGGCCGCATCCCAATACGCCCGCAAGTCAGGATTCTTCTGCATTGCCCGGTACAAGCCAGCAACGTAGTCCAGCAAGACCAACTTGGCGTCGCCCATGGTCTCGCGCGCGCCACACGTCTATAAAACAAGGCGTTATGCAATAATCACAATACTTTCGAGTTTAAACACACCGTTTCCAAGATGGAGGCCAGACCCAAATGCGCGACGACAGCATTTTTCAGGCGGCGACACCGGAGCGAAAAGCACCCGTTGTTCATAAACAGCGGCTCAATCCCTACATCGTACACATGTCAAAATCCAGCATGGATTGACGGTACAGTTGATTGAGCTACGCACCACAATGTCGGGCAAATGTTAGGAGCGTCTCCAACGCACGGGTCTGCACACCTACATGACGATGCCATCAGCAAGCAAACAAACACGGCAGAGTATCATCGGAATCGTGTCGTTGTTATTGTTCATTGACTCCCCAGCAAACAGCGCTTGGTGTTTGTGTGAGAGTTCAGCCGGAGAGAGGGAGGAACTGAACGTACTGGTGCCATCCGCCGACACGACATGCGACCGTTTCCCTCGCCCACGTCTGGTATTGCCGCGTGGATGATTGGGAGCAGACAATGGATGGCTGTCTGATGCAGACGTGTCAACCAGGAACGACTCGATTTGGCAGAAGCACACGTCGAGAAACTGGACAGGGGTCAGCGCATTGTCCTCGTGGACGTGAGGGTCGCCGTTGTTGTCCAGCAAGTACGCGACCGTTTTGGGTTGAAACAGTCCTGCTGCCAGGTGCAGGGGCGTGAGGCCGCGCGCATTGAGCGATTGGCACGCGTGTTTTACGAACGCGACTCCATTTTGGAGCAACTTGGTCTGTTCCAAGAGAAATTCGACGGTTTGAAAGCACTGTTCAGGGTCGATTTGGACAATGGCGTCCCATCGCCCGCGATCAGAATCCATGATGCGGTTGTCCAATCCACCCAGCGTCGCCAACAGCAATGCCGGCACCGTCTCGTACGGGTTCACTTGCTCTTGCTTGACAGCTTCTTGAAGCAGAAAGGGGAGGAGGTGGACATGATGCCGACAACATGCCAACGTAAACGCCGCGCGTCCTTGCCTGTTCTTCACCGACAGGAGCGCTCCATGCGCAAACAAAGCTTGAACGATGGCCGTATGCGCTTCAGCCGAGTGAACCTTCCTGAGGCCGCACACCGTGGTCAATGCCGTTTCTCCTTTATGATCCACGAGATTCACAAGGGATGGATTGTTCACCAAGAGTGTTGTCACTGTCTCCAAGGACAACGACGTAACAGCGGATGTCAACGGCGCGGCAATGCTTTTCGGACGTTGATGGGGAAGGAGGGGGATTGTACTTTCTGCGGGGACCAACGCTGGCGCCACGTTGCCGCCTCCTTCTTCGTCACCCTTTCCTTGACGACTGCCTCCACGTCCACTGCGACGGTTGTTGCGCCGTCGTTGTCGTCCTCCTCGTGACGATCCAGTGTTGCTTTCGGCTATACCGTCCATGCTTGTCGCGCGAAGTTCGTCGGATGTACTTTTGGGACGAACCATGAAATAATTTGGAATTTTATTGATTTTGAGAATGTCAATTCGCCTTTTGGGTCGAAATTTTGTTTTTGTTTTGGTATATTTTGTGCACCTGCCATTTCTAATATCGTCATTCCATCCGGATAACACATTGAGATCCCAAAAGGTCAAGCGTTTTATCAAATTCCTACACTCCACGCTGCATGACGAGCAGTCGCTGGTGGTAATATGGCCGCCAAAGTCTTAGAACAGCTGATTGCACGAGGTCGACGGGAACGCAAACCCACAGAGCAGCGGGAAGTGTCGTTCAACCTGGCTGAAATCTCCACGAACCCTGAATTCCATGTGAAAATGGTCGAGAAAGGCGTGGTGCGGTCGCTCATGCACCTGATTACAGACTCGTCCGACGACCAAGCCCTTCGTTTTGCGTGCTTATGTCTTGGCAATACCTCATCGACTGCATCGATACGGCTGAAGATCGTCGAAGAAGGCGTGTTGCCGCCGCTCATAGCGCTAATGAACAAAGAGGGCGGCGATATAGTTGGCAAGCAGTACTCGGCCATGACGATTGGCAACTTGGCCGCAGAGCCCGAAAACCACGAGGAAATCGTCAAATTGCATGCCATTTCAGCCTTGGTGAGTTCCGTGGATCCAGAAGAACCGTCACTCGGTGCATATGCTGCATTTGCGTTGGCTAATCTTGGCGTGAACAACGAATACCGGCCACTAATCGTCGAGCAAAGCGCCATCCCTCGCCTCATAGCTTGTATGTGCCATCCAGCCCTTCAAAATTCTCATGAATTTGTTTTGCTGTGTTTAGTGGCATGTTGTAGCGACCTCAGTGCCCAACGGCAATCTATGGCCGCTTTGCGAGGCATCTGCATCACACCTGATTACCGAATGATTGTCGTCAAGGAAGGTATCTTGGACCCGTTGGTGCTCATGGCTCGATCCGACGAAATCGACATTCAGCGAGAGGTCGCCGCCTCGTTCTGCACGTTGTCTTGCATGGAAGGCAACAAGATGGAGATCTCGGACCGCGCCTTACTCACGATCGTGTCCATGTGCTTGTCAGGGGATCCGTCGGTGGAGCAGCATGCTTGCTGCACGCTGGCCAACCTCATGGAGATGCCAGAGCTTCATCCAAAGCTATTACGTGAGAACGGCCTCGCGTCCGTGCTGGCGTTGGCATCGAGCGACGAGCCCAACACCAAGGCGGAAGCGTGTCGTTGCCTGGCCAATCTTAGCGCCAACGAAGACGTCCAAGAGACGCTCATGGTACAAGGAGTACTCGACCCGATTTCCAAGGCACTCGTTGTCGGCCATCATGTGTGCCAGCGATTTGCAGCCCTCACCCTGGCAAACCTCAGCGTAGTCGGAGCCAATCAAATCGCAATTGTCAGCCTGGGGCTCATCCGTCCCATCATTGCATTGGCCCAAGCATTCGATCGAGAACTTGAAGCCCGGCGCTACGCTGTACTGGCTATTGCCAACCTTGCCGCTATGCTGGCCAACCACCCTGCCATTGTTGAAGAAGGCGGGCTCCTCGCGCTATTTTCGCTCTCGAGCTCGTCGGACGCTCTCAGCCAGTATTACGTTGCGTACGCGTTGGCAAATCTAGCGTCCAACGAAGCAAACCACACCCGGATGGTGGAAGAAGGCGGCTTGCAACCCATCATTACTCTAGCATGTTCCGCCGACTCGGACGCACACCATCAAGCTGCCGCGGCGCTCCGGGGGCTGAGTGTCACCGGTGCCAACAAGATCAAAATCGTGCAAGAAGGTGGGTTGGAACCGCTCGTGCGCCTGCTCGTGTCCGACGACGTCGAGATCCTTCGTGAAGTGTGCGGCGCACTGTGCAACTTGAGCGTGAGCGAAGAAACCAAGTACGAAATCGCCAAAAGCGGTGCCGTGCCGCCGCTGATCGCCCACGCGCAGTCCGAAGACATGCAGGTGGCACGGCAGTGTACCGGAACCTTGGCCAACTTGGCCGAAGTGGACGAGAACCAAGCGATGATTGCGCTGGAAAATGGCATTTCTCCGATGATTACGTGCATGCGGTCCCAGTTTGTCGAGGTCCAGCGGGAATCGGGTCGCGCGTTGGCCAATTTGTGTGCGCGGCACGCCAACCAGACGGAAATCGTCCAGTCGGGTGGTCACCAGCTTCTCATTTCGTACCTGCTGTCTCCAGACATGGCATGCCAGCGCGTGGGGGCGTTGGGGTTGTGCAATCTATCCACAAACCCTGACCAGCGGGTCGTTCTCATGGAGAGCGGCTCCATGGATCCGCTGATGTCGCTCGCTCGCTCCGAAGATGTCGAGGTACTTCAGCCCTACCCCTGCACATACATGTACGAACCATGGTTGTGTACGTACGGTAGGTGGAGATCCAACGGTTTGCCATTTTGGCCATTGCAAACTTGGCGTCGTGTGTGGAAAACCACAAGATCATGGTCCGCGAAGGGTCGATTCCGCTGCTCATTAGCTTGTCCAGCGCGCCGGATCAGGAAGTGCGGCAGTATGCCGCGTACGCCTTGGTCAAAGTCGCCTTGAATGCTGACTTGCGCAAAAAAATCACGGAAGAAGGCGGGTTGGAACCCGTGCTGTTCTTGGCTCGAACCGAAGACTCGGACATTCACCGGGATGTGTTGCCAGCACTGTGCACGCTCTCATTTGCAGGTAATATAACAAACAAGTTGTCGTCGAACGCTCGATATTCAATTGTGTTTGGCAGATGCCAACAAGGCGGAAATTTGCAAGAGTGGGGGGCTGCCGCCGCTGATTTCGTCGCTGAGCTCCACAAACGGCGCCACACACCGACAAGCGTGTTGTGCGTTGGCGAATTTGAGTGAAAACATCGAAACCCAGAGCCGCATTGTGAATGCCGGCGCGATTGTCCCGTTAGTCGACGCCGTCACCACGGGCAACGAAGTGATCCAACGAGAAGCCGCCCGGGCGCTCGGCAACTTGGCCGCCAACTGCGACTACGGCTACGTGATTCTCAAACAAGGCGCGGTGCCGCCGTTGATCACCCTCTTGGCGAGCGAAGTCGTCGAGTGCCAGCGCATGGCGTCGATGGCGCTGTCCAATTTAGCGACGAATGTCGACAACCAGCCAAAGATGCTGTCGATGGGGATTCTCGAACCCGTGATCGCCCGTCTGGACGAGGCGCTGGACCCGCGGTCGGTAGCCGACAACGAAACCATTCGTTACTGTTTGCTCGTGCTCGCCAACTTGGCCGTGTCCCACGGCACCCACGAACAACTCATGGATCGGTGTCTCACGTTGCTGTGCAACTACGCCAAGCACCGCGACGTGAAATGCCGTCAGTTTTCCGTGTTTGCGATTGGGAACCTCTGCAGCAACCCAGCGAATCTCCAACGCATTGTCGACGCGAACGCCCTCAAACCCATCATTTCGTTTGCGTTTCCGGGGGATCCAAACGTTCAATTCCAAGCGATCGCTGCGCTGCGAGGGCTCTCCGTGAACCAAGACATCCGCCAGCAAGTGATGCGCCTCGGGGCCCTGGAGCCAGTGATCCTTGCCGCGTCGTCCGAAAGCATTGAAGTCCAGCGGGAAGTTGCCGCCACCATGTGCAACCTGTCCATGTGCGAAGAGAACAAAGTCACCATGGCGCGCGGGGGGTGCCTGCCGCCCCTCATCGCCCTCGCCCAGAGCGACGACCCGACACGGGAACGCCATGCCATATGTGCATTGGCCAACATCGCCGAAATGATCGAAGGCCACACCCAGCGGAAAATGTTTGAAGAGGGGGTGCTCACTCCCTTGTACGCGTTGTCGGGGTCGCCGGACGTGGAAATTCGCCAGCAAGTTGCTCGATGTCTAGCCTTGTTTGCAGCCAAGCCGTCCTCCCAGACCACCCTCTTGAGAAGCAACGCGTTGCAACACATCATCTCGTTCATTCACACCGATGACGCCATCTGCCAACGCTTCGGCACCCTCGCCGTCGGCAACCTGGCCGTGTCGTGTACGAACCACAAGGACCTGTTCGACCAGGGGGCCATAGCCGCCCTCATGAGTGTGGAGCACTCGACGGACTTGGAAACAAGGCGGTGCCTGGCCTTTGCCATCAACAACATTGCCGGCAACGACGCCAACTGGATTACCATTTGCAAGATGGGCATCTTGCGCTCGATCGTATCGCTAATGCACGACACGGACGAAGAAACGCATTTGCAAGCGTGTTTTGCCGTGCGGCGGCTGGCCCTCGAGCCCAAATCCCGGTCGCAAGTCGTGCTTCATGGCGGGCTCAAGCCGCTGTTTCAACTAACTCTGTCGGAAAACGTCGAGGTGCAGCGCGAAGCCACGGCGGCGATCCGCAACCTGAGCCTCAGCGAAGACAACAAGATTGCGATTGTCCTCAACGGATTCCTCACGCCCCTCGTGACGCTAGCCCACTCGGGGGACATTGAAGTCGCCCACCAGGCCACGGGAATTCTGGCCAATTTGGCTGAAGTGATCGAAAACCAAGGCCGCATGGTTCAAGAAGGCGTCCTCCAACACGTTAAGTTCATTCTGCGCTCGAAAAACGTCGACATCCAGCGCGAAGCCGTACGCACCATCGCAAACATGTCGGCTGAATACGCGTACACGGCGGAAATCGCGTCCAGTGGCGGCTTGGCGCCCCTCGTGGCCACGCTGAGCTCGCCCGACTTTTTGTGCCAGCGATATGGGGCCATGGGGCTCGCCAACTTGTCCACGAACGTCGACAACGTTGCGAAACTCATTCAGGACGGCGCCATCCACCCGTTGACGGTGTTGGCCAAGTTTGGCAATGGCGACGTCGACAGTCAACGGTACACAACGTTATACAAAGTTTGCTCGATACGTTGCGTCTTATATCGGTGGTAGGTACGCGACGTTTGCACTGACCAACCTTGCGTCGGTGCAGAGCACGCACACGCAACTGATCGGCGGCGGCATCATCACGTTGTTCACGGGACTGCTGCAAGAAGAAGACGCGAGCATTCGGAATGCCGCGGCGTTCGGCATTGCCAACTTTGCCGCGTTCTCTGAAAACCACCGCCTTATCGTCGAGTCGGGCAACTGCCTCGAGGCGCTGATCGACTTGGTGTCGAGTGCAGACGGGAAGAGCGTCCTCCGTGCGGTATCGGCTCTGCGCGGTCTCTGCGTTGACGCTGTCATTCGCGAAGACGTCGTCCGCATGGGGGGACTGCCGCCGCTGCTCCGTCTCACGCACTCCAAGGACATGGACGTACAACAAGAAGTGCTCGCGTGTCTGTGCAATCTCAGTCTCAGTGGGTGCATCGGCGCCGACCCCAGTTTATTTCTGTCGGCGTGCGACGTCCAAAGTCTTGTATCGTTCCTGTGCTCTGCGGACGCCACGTATCGCCTCTTCGGGGCCATCACCCTCGGCAACGTGGCTGCAAAGGCCGAGCATCACGAGACCATCGTTGGCTCGGGGGCCCTCACGCCGTTGATCGAGCTCTCGCGCAGCGTCGACTTGGAAACCCATCGGTGCATTGCGTTTGCCCTGTGCAACTTGGCGTCCGAGCCCACCCGACGGCAATCGATCGTGGACAACCACGGCATCCCCCCCATCATTGCTCTCGCGTGCTCGGAAAGTTCCGACGACAAGCGGACCGCCATCGCCGCGCTCCGGGGGCTATCTAGCACCCCCGACAGCCGCGTGAAAATCGTCCAGGACGGCGGCTTGGAGCCGCTGATCCTCGGTGCCACATGCATCGACGGGTTCGTCCGCAAGGAGGTGGCGGTGGCCGCGTACAATTTATCGCTGCATGAAAAGAACAAAGCGGCCATCGCGACGTCGCAGCTCATGGTCGAGCTGATCCAGTTGTGTTTGTCGCCTGACATGGATGTCGAGTACCACGTACGTAAAGACAGACATGCGATGGATGCTTTTTAACGAGGTAAATTGATTAGACCAAGGCCAGCTTTCACCTTGTCGCCACGTATGCGTGCGCGACGATTGCCAACTTGGCCGAGCTAAGCGACACCCACGGATACATCTTGCGCGACCGCGGATGCAAGTTCCTTGTGGATTTGGAAGACACTCAAGATGCGCTCTTGATCAAGGAAGCGCTCAAGTGTGTGTGTAACCTCGGGTGTAACTATGACACCCACACCCGATTACTCGAAGACAACTGCCATCACTTGCTCGTACATGCGCTCGACAACGCAAATGTCGACGTGCGCATGTTTGGCGCCATCGGATTGGGCAATCTCCTCGCCAACCCCTCCACGCACGACGCGATGTTCAAGAAAGGCAACGTCATCGCGCCTCTCGTCCGCTTGGTGTCGGACGAGGCCTTCCCCGACCCCCAGCGATACGCGGTGCTGGCGTTGGGTAGCATCTTTGCCAACCCCGTGCACCACGAATCCTGCTTAGCGCAGGGGGCGCTGGTCCCCCTGGTTCGGGCGATGAGTGTCGAGCACTCGCTCGAAACCAGGTTCTACGCGACGTACTCCCTAGGCAAACTCGCCATGAACGATGTATACCACAACGACGTGGCCCACGCAGAGCAGTGCATTGATAGCGCCATCGCCCTCGTCCTTTCTGACAATATCCACGTGCGGTGCCAAGCCGTGTCTGTGCTCCGACGACTCGCCATCCTCGACACCATTCGCTACGAATGCATGGCGTCCGCTCGCGTGCCAACGCTGCTGCCGTCGATCGTACAGGCCGCGTCGGCCGCGTTTGCGCACGCGGACGCGGAACTCGCTCGAGAAATCGCGGCGTGGGCGTGCAACTGGACATTGAGCGATGCGCACAAGGTCACGGTCGCGGTCTCGCCGCTCCTGGTGCAGTTGTTTACGTTGGCGGCGTCCACAGACATTGAGACCGCCAGAAATGCCTGTGGCGCGTTGGCCAACGTTGCGGAAGACCAGGAAAGCCACTTTAACATGATCGAGTTGCATGCCGTGCCGAGCTGCATCCGACTCATGCGGTGCCGGTACTTGACCGTGTACCGCGAAGCCAGTCGGCTGGCGGCGAACTTGATGTCGTCCGTGGAAATGCATGTGTTGTTCTTGGGCGAAGACGGCCTGAGCGCGCTCATTCGCGTGGCCAAGACGGACGACCACGAGTGCCACTACAATGTTGCGCTTGCGTATCATAAACTGTGCGTCAACCCAGCGACTCATAGTGGTGTCATGTCGTCCGGCTCCCTCTTTACCATTTTCAACCTCATGGGTGTACACGGGCTGACAGTGCAGCGCCAGGCAGCGGCAGCGTTCAAGGCGCTTTGTTCGAACATCGACAACAAGCCGAAAATCCTCGAAGACGGCGGACTCTTGGCCATTATCTCGCTGTTGCGGGCCACCGACATCGACTTGCAGTGCATGGGGGCTGCGTCAATTCGACACTTGGCGCTGTACCTGCCAGTCAAGATGGCGTTCGTGGCGGAAGCGGGGCTGCCCCCACTGTTTAGCGCGTGTATGATTGCCAACGCCGACCTGCAACTGCAATGTGCAGGCGCGCTGGCGAATTTGAGTGAAAACACCAACAACCAGGTGACCATGGTGGCCCAAGGAGGCTTGGCCGCGCTGGTGGCGCTGTCGACGGCGACAGACGAAGCCATCATGCAGCAAACAGCCCGGGCGTTTGCAAACGTGTCGTCTAACCCTGAGAACCAAGTGAATGTGTTTACGACAGCGGAACTCAAGGCGCTTTTCACGTTGGCGTCGTCGCTGGAAGAAAACTGCGGACGAGACGCCGCCTTGGCGATTGGCAACATTGCCGTGACGGCCAAGAACCAGCTTCAAATTGCACTACAAGGTGGGTTTGTGCCGTTGGTAGCCCTGGTGCAGAGTCCATTTGCATCCTGCCGACAATACGCGGCTCGGTGTATGTACCGGTTGAGTGCGAACAAGGACAACCAAGCGCATTTGGTGGACGCGGGAGGGCTGGGGCCCCTCGTGGCGCTCCTCACGGACACTGACGTGGATTGTCAGCGCAACGCTGCCATGTCCATCTGCAACTTGTCGAGCAACGTCGCGAACGAACTGCGCATTGTCAAGGCTAACGGGCTGCCGCCGTTGATTCGCCTTCTGGCGTCCACGAACGCAGAGTGCCAGCGCTACGCAGCCATGTCGTTGTGCAACCTCGCCGCCAACACGTCGAATCAAATCCACATCGTCAAGGCGGGGGGGCTCTCCCCATTGATTCAAGTCGCAGCTACCAACCCCCACGAGAGCGAGAGCGCGCGGTATGCGTGTATGGCCATCTCCAACATCTCCACCCACCGTCAGAATCGGTTGGTCGTCGTGGACCAAGGCGCCCTGACGCCGATCAGTCAACTCGCCATGTCGCCGATCCTCGAGTGCCAGCGCAGCGCCACACTTGCCATCTACAACGTGTCGTGCGCAGCACTGAACCAGCTCCGCATTGTCGACCAAGGCGTTTGCGTCCACTTGATCAAGCTCGCCACGTCACCAGACACGGACACGAAGTTGTATGCGATCATGGCTATGTGCAACTTGACCGCCAACGCCGAGACTCGCGTGGCGGCATCTCGATCGGGTGGACTGCAAGCGTTGGTGCTTGGCGCAAAGGATATTGACATGGCTATCCGGCGGTACGCGTGCATCGCCATCTGCAATTTGGGATGTGATCCCCAACTCCAAGTGCAAGTAGTGGTCCACGGTGGCCTCTCTGCAATCATTTCCATGAGTGAATCGGTCGACGTGATCGATCAGCGGTATGCGGTCATGGCGCTGTCCAATCTGGCGGCCAACGAAACCAACCACCCGACCATGATTGCCCGCGGCGTACTCAAGATCGTCCTTCGGCTAGCCACGTCACCCCAGGACGACATCCGACAATACGCGGCGTTTGCCTTGGCCAACTTTGCCGGCAACGCCGAGCACTGCAACACCATTGGGGACGAAGGCGGCATCATTCCGCTCATTGCGCTTGCACATTCCGAAGACCCCAATGCACACACGTTGGCGATCGCAGCGCTGCGTCGACTCTGCCAGGTGTCAGCCGTGAACCGAGGACGTATCGTCCGTGGCGGGGGCTTGGTACCCCTCGCCATTGCCGGGCACTCCGAAGAGCTGGAAACACAGCGTGAAGTGGCCGCCACACTATGTAATTTGAGTCTAAGCGACGAGTACAAGCTGGAAATCGTGGCCAGTGGCGCGCTGCCGCCGTTGATCCAATTGGCCCAGTCGCCAGATGTGGAAGTCGCGCGTCAGGCCTGCGGCGCCGTGGCCAACTTGGCCGAAAAGATTGAGACACATCCTCGATTCGCCGAAGCGCGCGGCGGCCGGTTTTTAATTGCGCTTATGCGGCATAAGAGTGTCGACATCCATCGGGAAGCGTCTCGTGCGATCGCCAACTTACTCACGAGTTTTGGCCATCACGGGGACATTATCACAGACGGATTGCCGGGGCTCATTCATCTGGCGCTGTCGTTGGACGTAGAGTGCCAATACAACGCAGCCCTGGCGCTGCGGAAACTGTCACCAAACTTATCCAGCCACAAAGGCATCATTGAAGAAGGGGGACTCAAGTCGTTGCTGTTTTTGCTGCTGGCCAAGGAAACCAACATCCGACGACACGCAGTCGTGGCCCTACGCGACATTGCCTCCAACCCAGCTTTCAAGTTGCGATTCCACGAGGAAGGGGGATTGGCAGCGCTCGTGACGTTCATGCGAGATGTCGAGCCAAACTTGCAGTGCGCGGCGCTGGCGGCGTTGAGACACCTGTCTAGCGCGCCGGAATTGAAGCGCGTGATGGTCGAAGAAGGTGTGCTCCGTCCTCTGCTCAAGTGCATCAACCCCAACCACACCACGCGCCACTTGGATTTGCTCTGTCAATGCGCGGGGCTACTCGCCAACTTGAGTGAAAACATGGCCAACCAGCCCACGATGGTGGACGAAGGGGCGACAATTGGCTTGGTGGCGCTGGGAACGATCGACCACGACGAGATCCAGCAGGACGTAGCACGGGCGTTGGCCAACTTGGGGGCCAACGAGGACAACCACGGCACGATTTACAAGCAGGGGGGGTTGAAATGTTTGCTGGCACTCACAAAGTCAAGGGAAGAAGTGTGTCAGCGGTACGCTGCCATGGGGCTGCGGTTTCTGTCTTCGAATCCCCAGATCCGCGTACACATTGTGCAAGAAAACTTGCTGCCTCAGTTCCTGTCGTTGGCGCAGTCGCCAATTCTAGACTACCAGCGCACAGCCGCGTCAGCATTCTGTTCGTTCTCGTTGAACGAAGAGAACAAAATGAAACTCGTGCGCGATGGCGGGCTCAGCCAGATCCTTAAGTGCATGTTGTACCCCGACTTGGAAGTCATACGAGATTGTACTTTTGCGCTGGCAAACCTGGCCGACAGTTGGGAGTACCAAATGGACATTGTGCGGGAAGGGGGCATCGGGGTCTTGGTGCAAGTGGGCGTGCACGACGATGCCCGCGTCCAGAGAGACTCATCCCGTGCGCTGGCCTCGCTAAGTATGACGGCGTCGATTCGCCCAGACTTGATCAAACAGCATGCTCTCAAAACCCTCTTCTGCCTCGCGCGGTCGCTGGATGTGTCGTCGCAACGGTTTTCAACGTTGGCCGTGTGCAATCTCAGTTGCGGGGACGACAAGGCGTTCATTGTGAACGAAGGTGCCGTGCGGCCACTCATGCACCTGGTCCGGTTCCCAGACCACGAAATCCAGCGATATGCGGCGCTGGCGTTGGCCGGGCTTGCCTTGGGAGACCACGGGAGCAACAAGATCCGCATGATCGAAGACGGCGTGGTCCGTCCGCTAATTGAAATGTTGCGCTACCCAAGCGTGGAGATTCAAAAGTGTGGATGCCTTGCGTTGAACGCGTTGGTGTTGGGTAAACACGCAATGGCCAAGACCAGTTTGATGCAAGAAGACGGGTTGCTTCCGCTCATGGCGCTCCTTAGCAGTGCCGACCTCGAGTGCATTCGCATTGCCATCTACTGCATCGGGTCCCTTGCCGAGAACTTGGACGTTCTGATCAAGCTGATCGAACTTGGCGCGTTGGCCAATATTGTGCACCAGTGCCGCCTGCCCGACTTGGAAGTGCGTAGAAATTGCGGGTACTTTTTTGCGCTGGTCGTGGAACATCACGAGTTTCATGACGACTTTGTCCGCGAAGGTGGTATGGTCACCGTGGTATCACTTGCGTCCATTGAAGACATGGAGTGCCAGGAGTATGCCACGTTCTCCCTGGCCCATTTGGCCTCGAACCGAGACTACCAAGTTAAGCTCGTCGAGCAAGGCGCCCTGCGACCACTGATTTCCATGATGTCTGTCAACGCAGAGCCGAGGCACTATGCTGGATTGGCGCTGCTCAAGCTAGCAGACAACTACGAGAATCACCTCAAGATTGCCGAAGAGGGCGGGATCCAAGCGCTACTGCGGATTGCACGCGCTCGATCTACGGACGAAGAGCTGCAGTACAAGGCGTCCATGAGCTTGGGGCAACTGGCTAGCAATGCCACCAAGCTCATCCCAAAAGGCAAATTGTCTAATGACAGCGTCGGGGGGAGTGCCTCACGTATGGCCGCTGCGACTGAACATCTGCAAGCGAGGAAGGCGAGAGAGCAAACGCAGGAGTACTTGGAGAAAAAAATCCAAAAGGAGAAAAACAATACCAGCACGACCCCGCGAGGCAGCAGTACGTAGCTCGGGGGAGTAGGCTGACACTGCAATCCCTGATGTTCACAAATAATGTTGCTACAGTATTGTGAATTCGCTGTAAACTCCCAAAAGTCGCGTGGTTTGTCTAATCAATATTGAATCACGCTGGAGTACTGATTGGTTGAATATATTGGTTGTTTCTGTAAGAGCCAATCAAATCCACTCATTACCGAGTCTGTTCATCGCCACTGTGTTACCTGGTATGCTCGGACTTGCTTAAGCTTATGCTAGTATACCAGTGGCAGTTAATACCAGTTGACTTGAGTAACGTGTTGTTATGAAATCACGATACGTAGTCATATTGAGAACCCTAGACCTATAGGCAGTGGTACTGTAAACACTACACATGTACCTCTCATGCTCAAGAAATAATGTTTGATTGGCTGAATTAAAATAGTTTTGGCGAATCAAATCATGACGTCGATTTATTGCTACTTTACGTGAAGGATCAACCCACCCCAAAACAGCATTCGAGTGTGTCATATATACAGTACTTCAGTGAAGTATTAATACTAAACTGTTTACAGATCAAGTTGCCTCCACTTTCTTCAAAAGATGCAAATGGAATAACGTTATCTTTCGATCGTGTTAACGCATGCCTGAAAACGGGTTGATGTTGATATCTTGTCCTGTGGGTTTCTTGGGCTGAATGCTATGCTGCACTTGCATGGGGTTCATCATCGTCGAGATGTTCAAGTTTGGCTGCTGTTGTTGGAGAGGAGGGGCATAGTACTGCTGCTGCTGCTGCTGAGGCGGGTAGATTGGCGAGGCGGCGATGTTGTTGTAGGCGGGGTACAGTGGCGTCGTGGGGTTGGCGTAGTGACCTCCATACTGCTGGGTAGGATACCCATAACCAGTTTGCTGTTGGGGATGGAAGTATCCCAAAGGTTGTCTACACCACATACAGTAGTGAGCTTTGTCGTGATTCATGTATGGTTTTACTTGTTGGGCTGCGGTTGTAAGCTAGCAAACGGATCGAACGACGGTGGAGCAAATCTATCCCAAGTCATGTTCAGCACGCAGAGGTAGTGGATTTTTATGAACGTGCTTACGATCGTTGCTGTGGCTGGACTTGTTGCGCGTTGAAGATTCCATTCAAGTTGACTGGAGACGCCGCTTGCGTCGGGTAGGCTGGCGGTGCTGGGCCCTTTGGCAAGACATAATGCTATAGCCCACCAGCTACTCTGTGCAATGTCGTGAAGTATGTACCGTCACAAGCGGGTCAAATACAATGGAGTGCACAGGCGGAGTGATTTCTGGGATAGACGTATCGATGAGGTTGATCTCTGGCGGGGGCGCCGTCTTTTTCGTCGAAGTGGACTTGGCTTTGTCCTTCGAGTATGACGCTTCAGAGCATGGGACGACAGGGGCGTGGTCGTCGTCCACGTCACTGGCCGCGTCTCCTGGCCCCCAATGGCTCTGGTGGTACCCCCCTGCTTGTACGATTATGCTTGTCGAAGTACGAGAGGAGTTGTTTACCTTGCTGAATGTGCCCGTGGCCGCTCGCAGGTTGGTATGCATTGCCCTGGGATCCGTTGGCACCGACGAGCTTTTTGTTGTTGCGTCGATACACGTCCATCTTGCGAAACGGGGCTCGATCGATTAGCAAGTCTAAACGTGTCGTGAGTGGATGGTCATGGAAAGAATGACAGTACCGTAGCGAGGCATGTCAGGGGACTCAAATTCGTTGATTCGCACTTCGATGGCAGTGTTTCGGTGCTCCAACATCAGTATGATGGACCAGTCGCCTGGGGAAATGAGCGCGACGTGGTACTTCTCGCGGCCGTCGTACTCGACAACCTACGGCATACATGCCTTGGTGAGATTCATGACACTCAAGGAATGACAACATGAGAAGCGCGGCACCTTCTTGGCAGACATGACCGAATGGAGCAGGACTACTTCATGCACTTTATCCGAGTCGCCAAATGTAAACTTCCACGACGCGCGCTTCTTGGAGGACGCAATATTGCTGCCGACGTTCTCAACCATGTGTCCTACACGCTTGGGAGGCCCACGCTCCAACGGGTCCACAGGTCCTTGATCTATTCAAGCATATAAGTCTCAAGTTTACATGAGCGACATGCGAAGTACCAGACACGCGCACAACATCGCCCATGCTTTACAATCGTCGGTTGCAATTGAAAATGCAAAACCGCTTGGCTTGGTTGTCAAAAAAATTGACCGGATAAAGATTCTATGGGCGGTATCCAGACTTCTTGACATCCTTGAAGTGAAACCGTCGACGTAACGGATGCACATCAATCCAACCGACACCATCCACCACTCTTCAACCTGACGCATCTGTCTTACGATTTCCACACGAGTGGATGCTTGCTTCTAAAGGAGATTCCACTTAAATCAACATGATATTGTGATTTCTGGTGAAATTTGCTGTTTCATGGTGGTTTGACAACCCTTTGACGTGAAGTGGCAATAAATCGACCTCGCGATTTGATTCGCCAAAATACCTTAATTATCAAACTGTATTTCCTTGAGTCTTGGAAATCAACATCAGGAACACTAGTCAATGGCAGCATGAGCGCCAACACAGTATACCACTAACTATTCGTCGAGGGTTCTCATGCAAACATGTACTACGTCTCGTGTTTTCATGACAACGCGCTACTCAAGTCTACCGGTATTAACTACTATTAATACCGGTATACTAGCATGAGCGTAAGCAAGTCCGAGCATACCGGGTAACACAGTGGCGGTGAGCAGACGGGAGGCAACAACAAACATGCATTCGCCGTACATGTGCGCACGTGATTTCTCTCGATGGGAGTGCGGTGTGGCGTAGTTTCCTTGAACGTACTGGTATCGATGATGGTGGCGTCGGCGTCGGCGTTCGCTTTACTGGCAAGTTTCGAATTGCACGTTCTGGCGCGCAACGGTACCTCTATATACCTATACATTATACTATTAAAGAGGTTTTGATCGGTTCTGAAACTGCCCCACTAGGGTTATTTCAAAAAGCTTTGCATAAATATTCCCTCGATGCCTTCGACACTGTTACAACTGTAAGTGAAAGAACCGAGGCGCGTAATAGTAAAACATCTCCTCCTAAGGATGGCAGATCTGTAGTCTCTAGATGACTTGCACCATAGTATTGAACATGTTATTTCCATTCACCAACCTCTGATGTCGACATCTATTAGATGAGGACAAACATCTTGCCACTCCTCGGTTTTTTTTGGGCAGCTCTAGTCAGTCATTCAAGACATTGGCCCAGATTCTCATCAGCTTCGCCAAACGAAACACCTGGCGATGAGCTAACGGTAGCGATTATAGTGGTTATTCGCACTTCTAGATCGACCTGTTATACTATTGTTTCTACCACACCTGCGTACGAACCGGTAATACTGCAAGGAGAGCCAGCTAGCGCTACACCTATACTGGTTCACACATTCTCCTGACCGCACTACAAACTTTCAACTGCTATCGACGTTTGACTTTGAAAAGTATGATCATAGGTCATAGTTCCCTTGCTACATGTATCCAAGGCTTTGATAAATCTAATCCAAACTTGCGACAACTATAGTTGTTGCACCAATAAATCTCATCCGAACTCGCGGCAACTATTGTTGCACCAATAAATCTCATCCAAAATTGTGCCAACTATACATATATTGTTGCAACAATATTCTCTCACTATTATAGAATACGTATTATTATAATAACGCCAAGGAAATAATTAACACTCTTTGAGGCAATGTTAATCGCCGGGCAATATTGCCACAAAGAGTTAATAATAATCACTAACTGTAAGCATTCAAAGCTACAGGTAGGATTTATGCAAGCAGGCGCGCTTCCATTACGCCACAACGTCGTGTTCGTGAACATTTTTATCGCGGCTATCGTTCTTGTCACCCTTCTACAGCATACCCGCTATTTCATGAGCTGTAGAGTAAGTACTGTTCTGTACTTTGACCAACACGACACTACAGGATTCGTGGCGGATCGGCAGCAGGTCTGCGGCATGTCGACGGTTGGTAGGTAGCGCAGCTAACGTTATGACACACATGAGCACTATGCTCTCATCAAAGTATTATGATCAAACTCATCGCTGCGCCCATGTGTCTTGTGAAGCACGCCAGCGGCTCCTGGCGCCACCATCGCCAGTTGTTGTGGTTGTGTTGGCGCAGTGGGGGAAACTACTACGTAGTACAAGTACAGAGTACTGTGGGTTGGGTATTTCCCAGGATCGTCCAACAATGACCGAAATTTATCACGATCATATTATTACTTGTATTCATTGGCTAAAAGTACAGGGGTAAAACGAACTAAGTTAACGCATCGAATTCTTGGAAGACATCGAAATCTCGTACATTAAACTTTTAACCCTAGTGTACCACTGGGTATCCATTGCGTCGATTAAATTTATTATATACAAATCAAGTGATATTATTTTAAATATTATTCGCCACAGGATTTGCAAAATGTAAGTGGCATCATCGTCGATAACGTCTTGCACATCAAGATCCTTCAGCTGCGTATGAAACTCAATGGACCTTGATGCGTGGCGACACGTCGGAACATGGGTCGAGCTTGTCGTTGAAATTGACGGCGGCACGTTTCCAAATAAGGCGCACGGTGATTCATGACGATGCTTCTTGCCACGCCGAAGTTGGCAGCCTCAGCAGCAAATGCACCATGCAGGAGGGTTGATTGGTCATTGCCCAGTGTTGGCTGCAACACAGCAGTCCAGTCCGAATTCTTGGCGCGTGGACTGTCATTCTTAGATACTTGCTCGGATAAACGAAGTATTATCCGGGAATCGGTCATCCGGATACGCTTGCGCCGAATATCATATAGGACAAAGTATGGGATCTGTATAACTGATTTCTCTCTTTGATTGGTTCAATTTTGGCTCGAAGCATCTTGATTGGTATTATTAATATATACTCTGAAACCTCCTCTTCACATACATATTGTTCGTTTTAGATAATTCGACCGGTATCACGTTCATTTTTCAAAATATCTGATTGTAGCGAACATTTCAGGACAGAGGTATTAATAGTAGTACTAGTAAGTCAGTTCGAGGCATATGCATGCATATCATAACATGATTCAATCATGGTCAGCTCGTTGGTAGGTAGCTGTATCAATTGTTATTGCTAGAGTTGCAGTTAACACTGTAAGTTCAAATGCAATGGGCCATAAGGTTAACTTTAGCTCGTTGTTAGCTAGCGGGCAAAGGGCATGGTCGAAATACATTTCTGAGGACTGTTGGCTGTATTATTATTATGTGCGCACCCTATTGGCTGAATTCTTATTCGACCCAAAATGTCTATTTTTAGTACCATACAAATCCTAGATGTTACGATTCCGCGAAATAGCGTTTCACAGATGATTTCTGCAAAGCAATATTAAAATTCACAACTCTTCGAGTTGTATGTAGTAGGTCAATCAATATGTGCAATTCGTCGCTCAAAAAACAGATCTTGAATTATATTTTCCAGACATGTTATCTATGTTTCTCAATTCTTCTTTATTAGGGCCCGTCTGGATGCCACCCACCAATATTATGAGATATTGGAATATTGAATAAAAGACATTTTTCGACATTGCAGGAAATTCTTGGGTTTCTAGATCCAAGAATGATTTTGGGTGGTGTGTCTGGATGCCATAGAATAAAAGAAAGTTCGGAAATGAACAGTCAATCAGAGGATAGGCGCAGAGGACTTCGTCCACCCAGAGAGGACCACTGAGGATGGACGTCCACTTTGGTGTCTTGTGGACGAAGGTGAGGTTGTGGTACTCCATCTGTCTGGCGAAGAGTTCCTTGGCCTGGCGCCGGCGGATGAGCCATCGACGTAGGAAGGCAATCACGATGGCCATTCTCATTCCGAAATGCCCTGTCAATTCAACGCGCACTGTCAATATCGTCAAAATATTCTACTCATGAGTAGAATATTATTTCTTGTGGTTTTCACGATATTTCTGATAAAATTATAGACTATAACTTGGTCAAGAAATGGCATTCAGACACGCCAAATTGAAGTCGCTGAGATTCTTGAATATTTTGCAAAATTATTGCGATATTCCTCAATAAAAGTGGTATCCAGACGGGCCCTTACTTTTCGTATGAGATGGAATTGAAATTTGCGTCAAAAGTTTCCGAGAATACCTTACTGTAAGTTAGGCTACTGTTAAAACGTCATCGCGTCATATTCCTTAGCAAGTCCACTGGTATGTAAGACTCCCGAGTACTTCCTCTGTTCCAGATAATAATTGTGGATGATTTTGCTGGATAATTTATACAAGAGTTTGTATTGTTTTGGTTATAAAAAACATGTGATTGGTGTATTTTTATTCAATATTACAAAAATACGACGAGCGGCAACATGATATGGTGCACCAGAATCAACTCATAGTGCTAGTACATGGGAGTTGACAAGTTGCCTTCAATTTGGCAATCCCCATCGAGCTATGGTCTTGTACAATGCAGTTAGCATCAGTAGCAACACACGTCTCCTCATCGCGTTCCTAGTGATGAATCTCGTACAGCATTTATAGTGCCACCTGAGGTTGTGCACACTCTTCCGTGGGTTTGAGAGTTTTAGAGGAAAAACTCGTGAGTCAAGTTAACAAATAAATGCCTTGGCTACTACAAAGATAAGGGTGGCAAGTCATTAAATGATCTATCTTTTGCACTAAGCAGATTTCATCAATTGATCTTGCAACCGGGTTGGATCGGTCGAATCCCAAATTCAACAAGATCGCTGCTTGGTCGTGGGAGGAAGCATTTTGAAACATGCATAACGCGTTAAGCAAACTAACTGTCGTATTCTGTGAGTTGTTAAGCATATCTGCGATATCTAATCTAGCGATTACCACTAATTGCAGCGAAATCGGAACTGTATTGAGCAAGTGGCGAAGTTTTGAAAATCGTTGGTCTGATCGTGTAATTTTTGGATTATATCTCGGCAACCATGTTAAATAAAAAAGATCCCAAAATACTATTAATAGCACTTAGTACTATTAATATTAATAGTACCAGTAGTACGCAGTAGTAGTTACTACTATTATGCTGGAGGTTGACTCGTTGCACAGATAAGTACTACTAGTATGTATTACTGGAGTTACCCGCCGTGCAGTTTGCCACGGAGTCCACGCGTCTGCTGTCGCAGCGGCGTGTCGAGCATAATTTTATTCTTCAAATGTAGACTTGATAATCGTATGCTGCTATTATCAAACTGTTTGCTTACAAACAACAAGTATAGATAAATATTTATTATACATTGTATATGTTCATCAGGTGTGTTTCTGTGGAATAAGTCAGAAACTCCGTCATTTCGGAAATATGCTTCCTTGATTCGAAATATAGTCATATGGTTTGAACAAAGTCTTAAACGAAATAACCTCGTTTCTCCTCAGTAATATACATATTTCCTGTACATCTGCCTCCAACGGTGAAAATGGCATTTTATTCCCGGCGTTTGTGACTTGGTGACCTATTATTAATTCTAATAGTAATAACATTAACGCTAATGAAACAGCAACTCTTACCACTTGTAAGCATATCACAACACATTTCGGTAACTACTTACTGTTGACATTAATTCCGGAAATACCATGAAATGTATCGGTACGCACATGGGCCCACCGGGGTTGACATCATAGTCCCTCCCACCTGTATACTACTACGTAGTACTAGTACATGTGTAGAATGATACTAGTATTGTCCTGAGTCTTATTTGTGCAAAGAACTGTGTTCTCCAGACGATCTTACTCTTATCGGTTAATTCGATATTCACCGAGTAGTGTACAGTACGAAGTACATGTTTTCGACCAGAGGTACGTACATGTAGTACATACAGTAAGTACATGTTTTCGACCAGAGGTACGTACATGTAGTACATACAGTAACTACTACTGTAACGTTAATAATAGTAGTACTTCGAAGTGCTTGCTGGCAGGGGAATTCCTCGGGTTACCATGACATGCCTACGGTAGATTCTACTAACGTTACTGTACTGGTAGTACACATTACTGGCCTAGTATTGGGCCAGCATCGCCAGAATGGAGGTACTAGTACTCCACCACCTGCGACACCGTGCAATGTGATAGCGAATTACGGCTATTGTTCTGCTACGAATCGACGCCAAAGGATGCGCGTGTGCGCACACGGCGAAGGCGTCTATGTAAAGCAAGTGCAAACTCGATCTGTGCGCCCAACAACGATTTACTTGGTCAAACTAGGGATGGTCGTCAACATTTCTCAATATTCCGAAATGGACATCTAATTTAGGGAAATGGACATCTAATTTAGGGATGTGAACTGGCGTTTACAATTCTGGCCCTGGTTCTGGACCGTGGATGTTTGAAATTGCAAGTGCTTTGGGCGGTAATGTTTGGACGCCCATTTGGTTTCGTGTCATGTTCGGCGACATTACGCCAGCCGTTGCAACAACGTTTAAAGAGGCCCCACACCTGCCATAGTCCATTTAACCTCCACCACCATGGCAACCCACGACCCGCAATCGACCACCAGCGTGGATGCCTTCCGCAACTCGGCGATGGTGATCATGGAAGAATCGGACGCTAAGGACACGAACGCGTACATTGTGGCGTTCCAGCGTCGACGTAAGATGCGGATTGTCGCGATAGCAACCGGCGCACTCCTCGTCCTTGGGGTGGCCGCCGCCGTTGTGGTGGCCACTGACAGTACAGCCGACAACGCCAGCACCAGCAGTGGCCGAGACAGACTCCCGCTAAATGCCGCGGGCGGAAACAACGGCGGCGGGAGCCAATCCCCTTCCACCACCACCGTTGACGACACCTTCGTTGGCGGACCCGAAATATACTTTACGCATACGACCCTTTCGCCCGGGTCGCCTTCTAATGTGCACGGCGGTTCGACAACCTCGTCTGGGAAGCATTCCGATGTGGACGGCGGTTCGACAGCCTCCTCTAACCACGGCAACAATCCCGGTAGCGTACACCACAACTCCACGAGCAAACTCCCGTCGAACGGCAACAGCACGGGGTCGAACAATGGTGTCAATGGGTCCCGGCCATGCCCGTCGATCACGGCTGTCGATAACTCGATCGCCACTATTTCGCCACCTCCATCGTATGGGGCGCCTACACGTCGTCCGGAGATTACAGTGTCCCCGTCAGACCCACCAACCACGCCGTGTCCACAACCGATCGTAACCAGCGCACCTACCCCGCCCCCTCAATACCCCACGCACGCGCCTCGTCCCACGTCCCCGCCTGCCACCTACCCCCCCACGGCTGCCCCAACCAATCCCCCCACTCCCCCCACTCCCCCACCGACCCGTCCTCCGGTCCAGCCCACTCCCCCACCGACCCGTCCTCCGGTCCAGCCCACTCCGCTGCTGTCCGGTAGCGACCTCAAAGCGCAAATTGTGCATCAGACGTCTGTGATCCGAGCGGGGTACGGCCTCGGACCAGTGACATGGAACGACGACTTGGCCAAGAAAATGCAAGCGTGGGCAGACTCGTGTCCTCAAAAGACGGGCGGCGGGCACGGCGGGCCGTCCGGCAATCAGAACTTGGCTAGCTTTGTCGAGTGTGGCAACAACTGCATGCACGAGCCAGGGCCAGCGCAGACGTGGTGGGAGAGCGAAGAAAAGCTGTGGGACTACGACGCCAACAAGTCCAAGGACGGCAACTGGATGACCACGGGCCACTTTCAAAACTCGCTCGACCCGGGCGTCAACGAGATCGCGTGTGGCTGGTCGACATGCTTTAACCCGGTCGCCAACCAAAATGACTCGCTGGTCTGGTGCAACTACATCGGCGGCACCAACGGCCGCATTCCTCGCCCCATCATCTCTAAAGCCGAGATCAAAGCCAGGATCATCAAATAGTATTTCGAGTTTATTTTCGTCGTGCAAACGCGCGCGCATTCGTATCGTGTAGCTAGTGTATGTAACGTTACTTTGAAGTAATGTTTTTTAAATTCTTTTTTATCGACCAGCGAATTTATGCATCCACACTGTACTAACAAGTAAGTACTAGAAGTAGTACTAGTATATACTACGTACTGTTAGTAGCATTTGTTTATTGACGTCATAATGTTGACCAGCCATCAGGGGGGTGCTTTCATCACCACAGCGCCCTTCGACTTCGTCTCCACCACGTGCTATCTATCTATGCTCGGGGCTTGCGCATTTTGGGGAGACTTCAAATTTGTCGAGGTGAAAGAGCATAATCTGAGTATTCTCGTCGAATTAGCTGGTGAAGTATATTCCATGTCAAAAATCAATACAAAATCCAAGTTGATAATTTCCGACGATGATATTTTGGCAATTGACTTGGCAATGTCGTGCAATGGCAGCAGTTGGCACCGCGTTAGCGAGTAAACTGGTCCTATACGTGGCGTACTTAGCGTTGTTAGCATCGGTAATGACACAGAACTCATGTCGTCATACTGGTAATGTGTATCGCAGCGAAAACAGACTCACTGGCAGTTGCAAGATTGCATCACCGTTTGAAAAGTCAAAGTCAGGAGTCGAAGTTGCACACCGGCCGGCGGCGGGCTACCATCCAGCGAGCTTGCTGTGCTCCAAGGTTCAGAACTATGGACATGAGCCTGCCATTGTTCTAACCTGGCCCACAGCAACCTCGCAAGGGCTCATTAATTGACCGCTCACACGGCGGGTGATATGGGTATAGTCGAATCGGATTGGTTATAATTCAAATTTCTTTGAAATATATTTGACCTGTACACAACAAATCTATTTCTTTCACAGTACAGGGTTAATTGAGTTTTGGATTACCGTATAGGTAACAATAACTACCCTGCCTTTTTTAGCTCAGGGTAGCTCGAGAAAGACCCGCCAAAAAATCCCAAAGCAGTTATTCGGCCCGAGATTATATTTGAT